GCGCCCGGCCATGAGAGTTTGTTAAAACTCAAGCGGACAGTATTCAGTTTCCTACAACAGACATACTTTAACTACTTTCTGATTAAGTTTAAAATACATGAATTTGAATTTAATATTGTATGCATATCCTGGCAAGAAACTTATTTTTCTGTTAACAAATTAATATCAAAAAATAGCAAATGGTAGTACCTCATGAACATATATAATGGTTAACATGTACCAGGTACTCATCTAAACACTTACATTAAATCAAATCTCACAGCAATGCTATGTATACACATTACTGTTACCCGCTTTTCACATCTGAGAAAACTGAGGTGCAGAGAGATTGAATTAGTTGCTCTACTGACATGGGAAGGAGAGGCAGGATTTGAAACCATTGCTTTCAACTATTCTTTTCTCTGGAGACAGAGCCTGTGTAAGTTTAAATTAAGTATAAGACCAGGTCCCTGCTTCTCTGTTCTTGTTTTTCCTTGTGATCCTAAAGTAACTGTGCTATGAATGTTTTTCAATCTTGATAGTCATCTTTGTTTTGAAGTCTTAAATAAATTCTTTATTATATTCTATTATTTATTTTTAAGCAGGATGTTCCATTTCTAAGCCAGATGTGATCACCCTATTGGAACAAGGGAAAGAGCCCTGGATGGTTGTGAGGGATGAGAAGAGAAGATGGACTCTAGGTAAGTGCTGATGAGGCAGAGGTCAGCCATTATGGCATGGCCAGACCTGCTGGTTGAGGAGGAGACACACCCCTTAGATGTCAATTGTGAAGAAGAGACCTGAATCTTGGGAAGAAAATTTAGATATTCTCAGCATGAGCCACCAAAGAAATTTCATCCATACTTCCACTTATCACTTGTTTCTTTTCTGTCTTGTTTCCCTCCCTTTTCTTATAGGGGAAAGCTTTCTTCCCTCGTGATTCCATTTTACCTGTATTTTGGATCTAATCCCTTTCTAACTCATCTTTTGTGTTTTGACTTTTATGTATACATTTTTTCATTGCCCTCTGTTCATGGAGTTTAAATTGTAGTGGGGAGTCAGGCAGTAAACAAGTAAATCAGTAAATGGATTACTAAAATATCCTGAAGTAATTAGGTGTTATGAAGAAAAGTGAGTAAGGTAAGAATATGGAGAATCATAATGAGTGAATGGAGTAATTTTAGATGGGGTGGTCAGGGAAGAAGAGCCAATTTGAAGAGGCGCCAGTTGTCCAAAGATGGGACTATTTGAACGTCATTACTATAATGACTACAATGTATTGCAATGCATAAAATACACTTAATTTTATAAATTCTTAATGATGCTAACAGCAAATTATTCATCATTGGAAGTTACTAGGAAACTAACATTTAAAAAGCATAAATTTAAAGGAAAAGAAGCATTTATCCTGCCTTTCTTATAACAATTGTACGAATAGGTGGAGGTATGTTTCTCTTAATGAAAGTATTCAGTGAATAAATGAAGAGGAAATGATAGAATTAGAATATTACCATTTTGGAGCCCATAAGAACTACTGGATTTAGATACTGAACATCAGTGCTGATAGCATCAAAGAAATAGACAATCAGACGTTGTTTCTCCTGATGAAAGAGCACAATATCACCTATGAGGTAACTTTGCCAACAAAGGTCCTAAGTCTTGTCAAGCATCTAAAGCCAATTCCCAACTTATGGGAAGAAGATAGAGGACTATGTTCTACACCTTGGGAATGTAGTGAGCAAAATTCAGAATATGGGAAACTACAGGACCAAAAACAGGTTCTTCAACAAATAAATTACAAGGGAAATCAAAAAATGATAGGAAAATCTATACATTAAAAGAGATGTAAAAGACATGTAACAATTGTATTCTGTGAACTTTGGAGGAGTTATTCTTTTTAGGTTGTTTAAAATTTTATCAGCCAGGGCCGGGCGTGGTGGCTCAGAGCGCCTGTAATCCCAGCACTTTGGGAGGCCGAGACGGGTGGATCATGAGGTCAGGAGATCGAGACTATCCTGGCTAACACGATGAAACCCCGTCTCTACTAAAAAAATACGAAAAACTAGCCGGGCGAGGTGGCGGGCACCTGT